CCCCCAGTTCTTTAGGAGCATTTCCCTGCACCTGTTAAATAAAAAGCATGCTTTCCCTTTTCCCCAAGGTCTCCCATCCGGTCATGTGACGTCATTACAGCTCTTCATCTTCAGTGGTGGGGCAGATCCTTGGTGCCACATAATGAAATACAGCATTCTTCTATGAGCCCAGGCCGGTTTGTTAATGTGCCCCTGGGGACAGGTCCATGACAGCCCGGACTCACAGAAGTGGGTTGAATGACCCTGGGTGTTATTCAACCCACAAGACGAGCCATGCTGGAACTTTGAGCACAGAATCTTCGCGGGACTAATTATCTTATAGTCTATCCAGGACATAAAGGGAAAGCTTTGGATAGAGAGTCCCTGTACCAAATAGAATTATAGGGATCATCTAGGATGTCACTCAGAGAGGACCAGACAAGAAGATACCCTGGTGCTGTTAGTGTTCTAAGCTGTAAAGATATTCAGTGAATCCCTTTTCAGAGAGCAGTAGAGATCATGAATTTGGCGCTGAACTTTTAAAAGCAACCACAACACCAGAAAAGTGTCTCAGACGCTGTATTGAATGGCCCCCATTGTGTTCCCATTGCTTTCGGAAGCTGAACTGAGCAGCGGCAGAGCAAAGAAAGGGGAGCAGACTTTACAGCAAACCGCATGCTTCGCTTAGCGCGGGCAAAGCGCAGGGCCTGTGTGGACGGGCTTTTGTTGGCATCAAACAGGTTTTGTATTCCTATAGAAGTCAAAAGGAATGGAAAAACACACTAGAAGCAAGTCAACAGCAGGTCAGAAGGCAAATAAACGAGTCCATCATTGATCTCAGAAGAGTACCAAACAGATGTCACAAGTGCAAAACCCGTCAACACAGACCCATAAGTGTCATTTATCGCCCTTTGCCTCCTAATTACTATATTAATGGTGCCATTCATACAGTATACAGCAAGACCATAGGACCCTGCAAAGGAAAGGAGCCCCCTGAAACAGGATATCAGGACCAGCGCTCAGGGGACCAGCTGATTCTGCCGGAAACTAAAACTTTTATTCCTCAAGAAGCAGCATCCGTTGTACGTCATTTCATCAGCATTTGAAATAGCTTAAAGCATTTTCACTTTAAATAACCCTTTAAAAATGTCACGGGAGGAAATGATAAGAATGACGCTTATGGGCACAGATGGAAAGCTGGATTCTTATAACACCCCATTCACAGCTTTGCAATTTAACACAGGTTTCCCAACATGCACCGACGCACGTCCGGAGCTTCACCAGTTTTCGATGGGGACTGTTCATACCTGCGTTGCCATGCAATAGACAAAATGGCACTGGTGCGTTTCGCCCCCATGAATTCATCAAAAACGAGTCCCCATTTACATCTGAGAATGAGCATATTCAGGGAAACCTGACGCTTTTTTGCTAATTTTTCCCCCCCTTATGTGTTATCAAGCTGCAGGTGCTTTTGTCTGAAGGTTCTCATTCATCCAGGTCATGGTGTATCTGTAAAAAATAAATCAAAGCAATCGGACTTGCTGTATTTCTCTTGAAGATGTTTCGCTGGTCATCCGACCAGCTTTCTCAATTCTGAAACTGAATTCTCAATTGAGAAAGCTGGTTGGATGACCAGCAAAACATCGTCAAGAAAAATACAGCAAGTCCAGCTGCTTTATTTTTTACAGACATACGGATGTTTTGTTTTAGCCAATGGAAGGCCCCTTTCAGGCGAGCAGTCCGATCAGGTCAGTTTATCAGCCGGACCCGATCGGACACTCTATGGAAGTCTATGGGCAGCCGGGTTTAAACAGGCGAATGTCCGTTTACACCTGGTTAGCCCCGGCTTGGTCCGGTAAAACAGATGGATCATTGATCCGTTTCGACAGACTGGATTGTGCCGGACCAGAGGTTCTGATGTGTCCGTTTCCCTCAGATTCCCTATAGACACACACATTTTTCAGGTGCTCCCATTGAAGTCTGTGGGACCAAAAACGCACGACTCTGCCCCAAAAAAGAAACCGGTTGCGCTAATTCACATGTCTTTCAGCTTCTCCCATTGAAGAATATAGGGCCAAAAACGCACAATTCTTCCCCCAAAAAAGTTCATATACTTCTCCACCTGACAAGGGTCAAGTGACACAACAGTCAGAGGCGAACGGGCACAACTGAGAAGAATGGGAATACATTAAAACTGGAGCAGACAGCATCTGGAGCAGTTGCCCATGGGAACCAATCATCTTTTCTTTTCAGTTAAATGAGAATTATGAGGCGAGTGTTTTTCACTCAGCCTCATAATCCGAGCCGACGTGTGACAATGAGACTGTCACAGGTCGGCTCAGTAGATCGGGAAGTGAGCGAACACATACCGGCGCTCGCTCACTTCTTAATCTATCCACGCAGAGAGCCGTGACTGTCACTCACAGCTCCCTGCAGGGATTCCCCCCTCCCCTGTCCGATCGTCCAGCGCTGACTGGCAGAACAGACGGGGGAGGGTACAGCTGGCTCTGCCTCTAGATAGGCAGAGCCAGCTGTCACTCACCCAGCTGGGTGGATCCAGACAGAATTGTCAGGATCCGTTCCGGCTGCAGCATCTCAGTATACCTTTCCGGCTGCGGCGTCTCAGTATGTAGCTTGTGGTATACTGAGCTTTGGGTGACGGGAGGACGCTAGTTTGTGTCCTCCCGTTACCCTTAGGAGAACTATGGAGAAAAGCCCTAACCCCACAGTTCTCCTTTAAGCTTTGAAAATGAAAGATAGAAGTTGCTTGGTTGCCATAGGCAACTACTCCAGATTCTGTCATTCCCCACCCTTCCCTATTTTGAGCATTGCCAACAAAACGCTCAGGGGTGAATTTATCAAAACTGGAGCAGACAGAATGTGGAGCAGTTGCCCATGGCAACCAATCAGCTTCTCTCTTAGTTTGTTCAGTTAAGATTTGAAAATAAAAAAAAAGGTGGATGCAGAAATTGCATTAAAAACATATGATGATGCACATTAGAAAACGCACATTGACATGCTAAATACACACCTACAGATAGGTGTGCAGCCATAACACAAGTTACAATCTGATTGAATAAGATTAGATCTAGTAACATGTACTAGAAGGACCCGCCTGATTGGAGGGACACATTGATTAGAAAAGTCCTCATATTACAGGTTCAGTAAATCTAAAGTTGATTGGAACATGTATGGTGATCCTTAGATCTTACAAAAGCTGGAAAACAGTTTCCAGGGGCAAATCTTAAAAACTTCACCCTGCGCCTGGAAAACAGCGTGTAACTATGTAGCTGGATGCAGAGTGACAATGTAACTGGCAATCCTTCATCCAGATCAGTGATACACCATCCAGTCCCCCCCCCTCTTGTGCCCCCAACTGCACCTGCTGCTGGGAAGGAATAAGAAACCTTCCATCGCCCCCCGATCTGCTCGTTGTTCTCCATGCTTTGTCCCAGCAATGGAGTCTCCTCCTTTTGCCTGCTGTCAGTGCCTCCTCCCTACCCAGCAGAGCACAATTCAGCCCCCGGAGTCAGGATCGGGACCGGATCTTACCTGTGCACGCCCAGCTCACACAGATCCAATCCTGGGGGGGTCACACTGTACTGATCCCTATGACAGGTGAACCCCCAGATCTCAGCCTTCCTGCGCTCGACCGCACCGATCTCAGCTCTCTGCCAGCGAACCTGACCGGCGCTCACCCTGCGAAGTTCCTGAAGTTCCACTGTAAA